AGAAAGGCTTATCCATTTGGCATGTAGGATTCAAAACCAGGCATGTTGCCAGTAGGCTCAATCAGAGCGGAGGATACAATTTTAAATAAAGTTCATAGTGGCATTTTTTAAATGAGCAGGAAGTTTTCTTTCTCTAATCAAAACCTAGATAATTTAAATATCTCTTTCTTTGGTAATATCCTGACATTGTCCGTGGATAGGGGACCCCCAGAGGAAAAGGTAAGTGATAACGGCTGCCTGTGTCAGCCCGTTCCCAAAAGAGATCATCTGTCCAGCAGACGTCAGTGGGAGTCTGCCTGACAGAGGGGTGTGTGTACAGAAACCAAATTGCAGGATTGGGATCTAAATAAGGTTATGATCTTTGACTTCCAATCTGTGTCATAACTTTTCTCTGTTTATTTCAATATTTGAGATCTGACAGTGTACCATCACTCAGATAGCTCAGGATTTTTCTGTCTATGTAACATTACTGGCTTTTTTTTAATTTAAAAAAAAAAACAGTGCTTTTTACTTTTCAGGAGTTTGGTTATAGAAGACAGCACTGATGATACTGGTTCTAAAGGAAAACGTTTCCAAATTGGGAGTTCACAGCAATATAAAGAGCAGTTGTGAGTCTAAGAGGGGTTGCGACTGCAGGAATATTTGTCTTAAGGTTACTTGAATTTCAGGGGAGGCAGAATGGTTCACAAAGCAGATGGCACAGGAAGGATTGCTCAGAGAAAGTTTAGACTTAGCAAAATCTCAAAAATCAGATTAAGAAGACAGATGGGATTCTGGATTGGAATGCTAACATGTAGGGTATTTTTTTGTCTTTTTTTATTTCACTTTCCCAAATTGTGACCTTGGAGATGCTGGGGTTTTTTATATAGCTGACAATAAATTTAGTACTGGAAAACTGGGAGGGAGTTACACTTAAGCAGCTGTTTTCACTGTAACCAGTAGTTTTGGTTTGCACTTGTTTGGAAAACAAGTAAGATGTGATTGCTGAAAGAAGACAAAGGGATATAGCTATAAGAAAAGAGACTTAGGCTAGACTTACGTGCTTGAGCGTACACATACAGGAACCTTAATTTCTTTGTGGAATGTAACCCTGTATTTGCTGCTTTCCCACTAACCTCCTTTTCCCACTTTGCTTTGGGATTCTTGAAGCAGACTTGCAGCGTTTCCCAGATGGCTTGCACTATTTAACGTTTGTGAGTGGCCCATTCCTAGCTGCACTTCTAGACAGGGAGACACACAGTCTTTTTGCCCATCCAGACAGGGTATCTTTGCCCGTGGTTTATCTCCTGAAAATGAGCAGTCATCATAAGTAGCTCTTGCTTTGGACATGAAACGTTGCTGTAGGAAATACAGCGGCAGGGCATGCGCTAGTGGTGCAGGCCAATTACTCTGTGCCCACCTGCATTGCACTGCAAGCCAACAGGGAACCGTGTGCCAGACAGCCCAGGTCTGAAAGAGTCACATTCACACCACGCTGGTGAGGAGCCAGGTATATTGGACAGGGTTGTTGGCTCAGGCATAGCCTGTCCTGAATACGGCTGACCTGTCCAAGGAGGCGAGAGGGATCACAGCTGCCCTGGGTGAATTCATCAGCCTGGGGTCTGTCACCTCAGCCATCTCTGCTTTGCTCTGCGGTGAGGAAACATCAGCACCTTTATGTCCCCTTCCTTCCCCCAGGACCTCACCAGCAGCACAGAGCAAAGCTCTTTCAGAACTTAGTAACTGAATATTCTCGCTGTAGTAAATATTAGAAAGCACAAAAGTATCACAAATCTGTGGAAGAACAAAGCATGCTTCTCTTGAGCAGTTCATGTTCTCAGAGTCCATCTTCTGCAGTGCTTTCGGTTCCCTGCCTCCATCGTGTTCCCCACTTACTGCAGATGTCGTTCCTTCTCTGAGTCCATGTGTCTTTAATTCTGTGTGAGCTCCTTGCTGTGGTAGGCTGTAAAACTCAAGAGTAATGTATTTGCTTTATTCCCACTGTTTTGCTGAGAGTACCAACTAAAAAGTTTGCCAGATGTATTAAAGACTTTATTTCTTAACTAATAATGAAGTCTTCTAAGCAGCTTTTTCCAATTAAATACTTCTTTTAGTATACCTGATGCTTCGATCTAAGACCTCCCTATTAATTTGAGGTCAGACTGACCTTGGATCACTTGCTCTCTTCTTTCCCTTCTTCAGTCCTCCTGTTCTTCAAGAAGTGCTTGAATATCTCCTAACAATTCTGAAACTTGCTGTATAGCTTTCAGTCGTCATAGTAGTCTCTCGTTATAGATTGTTCTCATCACTCTCACTGTTTGAGAGGAGGTTTCTTCAGCGATTTCTTCCCAGTTTAAAGCTTGTAATCATTCTGTTGCTGTGGAAATTACTGTGCTGATGCAGGTTTAGTGTTCATAACTTCAGTGCTGCATTAGATAAGAAGAAGGAGCTGTTGCATGGGAGAAAGCCCTGAATTAAGCATGTTGTAATCATTTCCGTCTTTTGTGAAAGATAACACATGAAAAGGAATTAGGGTTGTTCAGGCTGCTCGGATTTCTTGAATATCTCCTAACAATTCTGAAACTTGCTGTATAGCTTTCAGTCGTCATAGTAGTCTCTCGTTATAGATTGTTCTCATCACTCTCACTGTTTGAGAGGAGGTTTCTTCAGCGATTTCTTCCCAGTTTAAAGCTTGTAATCATTCTGTTGCTGTGGAAATTACTGTGCTGATGCAGGTTTAGTGTTCATAACTTCAGTGCTGCATTAGATAAGAAGAAGGAGCTGTTGCATGGGAGAAAGCCCTGAATTAAGCAAGTTGTATACATTTCACACGTATGTCAGGAAAGATAACACATGAAAAGGAATTAGGGTTGTTCAGGCTGCTCGGATTTTCTCTATCTTCTCAGGAAAAAACAAGTCTAAAGATTAAAAAGGAAGAGAAAAAAAGCCCAGTGTCTGATCTAGGGACTGTGGTTTGGAACAGCAGTTCCAGTCTGTTGCCTTTCAGGACATCAGTCTTCCATCTTGGGTGATGCCCTTTGTCGTTTCCATTTGGAAACAGGATTTTGGAAATCCTTATCCTTCCTTATCAGAAAGATAGAAGGATGCAGACAGAAGCCCTTATATAGCTATAGAGTGAAGGATAAAGGAATTTCCTGCTAGAGATACCCATGGCTAGCTCTTCTTTGGGAAGAGAGCACTGGATTTATGTATACAGGAAAATTTTTGTTTATCAGTCTTTGTCGCTTGATCAATTTTAGTAATAGTCTCTATTCTAGAATTTTGGATGTCTATAAGCAATTAAATAGATTTGATACTTCTGTTGTTTTCTTATCCTCTTCCTTGATTAGTATTTAATATTCCAGAGCTCCTTGGTTCCTTCTTATATGTGGTTGTTTTAGAAAAGGCCAAACTTTCATGTTACTGACATAGCTAACCACAATGTTCAGCTTGTCCTGTTTCCTTGCTTTTTCTTTAATGCATGACCCATTATTCTTAACCGCATCTGTTCTTCAGCATTCTTTGCTAGGCAATTCAAAGTGGGAAACATTAACAGCACAGCTATCTGGCTTTGGATCTAAGCGCATTGTTCCTGCACATTTAAAAAAAAAAAGGCAAAACAAAACAACTTATATTGCTTTTTGCCCTCACATTTGTAAATACATGTACAGTTTGTAAATACGTGAATACATATGAATTCCTCCTTTGATTAATGTGGCTGCCTTTCACATGCACAAGATTTCACAAGTTGCTTGGTGGTCAAGGCAAGGTTTCTAAGGAGAAACGTGCACATCAGAGTGTATGGGCACTGTTTTTCAACATACATTGTTTTCTTTGACTACTAAATGCAAACCTGGGAACAAGTCCAGAATCTTTAATAGCTAGAATGTATTTCATGCTGATCCCCTCTAAATTGGCATCCTCCATTGCCAAGTTCTAAAGTGAGGGCTGTGATGATGATGAATTTCTCTAATGGGGTTTTTGTTCAGGGATGCCTGATATCTGTATTTTCTGTACTGTAGGGTTCAGACAGAAGGTCTCTGCTTATAAAAGAGCCCGATATCTTTCTGGCTGAAATGCCCGTAGGACAGAGGTGCTGATGTTTTTGTATTAGATCCTGACATCCTTTTAAAGTTTTATGTTGTTACAGTATGTTTCTCAGCATACTCAGGTGTGTCATTTCACTATTGACATTCACAACAGAGATTTTGTTAAGTTCTTTGTTTTTCTTCTTGGTGTTATGTCTTGCTGGCTCAGGGCTTACACCAAAATAAGTTCTTAAAATCCTAACACACAGTAGTAATATAACAGAACTCTACCACCAATACTGTTCTGTAGAAATCAATGTGTTGTTTTCGAATATACATGAAAAGGAGGTCATGGTCTCTTTTCTGGGCTGCCCATGAAGAAATGAGTTGCATGTGGAGTGTGAGCATCTTGCTTGTTAGCAGCTGAATTCCCCTGACACAAAAAGGGAGTTTGCAAAATATAGTCTACTACCTTGGGGAATGGAGTAAGCTGAGGTAAGGGACTTCATGCAAGAACAACAGAATTTCCAAAGATGAGGGCAAGAATGAGAGAAAGGGGAGAGTGGGAGAGAAAAGAGGGAGGTAGGTACCCATTTAGGAGAACAAGGCGACTGTAAACGAAAAAATCCAAGGAGTGGCTTGGTGGAGGCATTGGACCATTGCTGGTCTTTTCAACACAGCATTCTGTTTAAGTCATAGTTACTGAAGAAAGGCAACAGCTGCTACTTTAGAGCATGAGGCAGAGGAACTATTGGAGGGGCAGAAAAATAATCGTAGATATAGAGGAATGCCTTCCAGAGGGACTGTCTTGCACAAGCCACTCCACTTTATGTAACAAAAGCCTGGTGACACAACACATGGTTTAGTCATAGGAGTGCCCTGGAGTGGACAAATATTGTACATCTGGAAACATTTAAACAAGTAATTAGTTTCTGGAAAAACGGCAAGGAAAATGTAGTCCATTGTGTTAGCTTCTGACTGCACGTCTACAAGATGTATGATTCTCCTGATTGCCTTAACCATCACTTCTTTGCTTCTCATACCCACCAGCTGTACGTGGGGACAGGTAATGCGGTAGTGTCAGGGCTGACAAGCGGATATCACTCGGACTGTGACATTTTTGCCTCTTTGGAAAAAGGGCAGGGAGGGAAGTGTTCCTCTCTTCCTCACTGCTAGCACTCTGCATCCCACCTGGTCATCCTGCGCTTCGAGGACAAGGACCTGATCCTGTGGGATTTCACCGTCTTGGTTAGACATCACCAGGGAGGTCCTGTGCCCGCTGGGGCAATCTCTCCCACTGCGGTTCAAAATCTCCGACTGTAACACGGCCTGCTTCATTGCCCACTTTCTTCCTGGGCTTCTGTCACAGCAGATTTCCTCTGTTTCTTTGCTACACAAAGAGAGAAGTGTTTTGGGGAAGGGATGAGGAGCACAGCTCATTTCCAGCCTTTCCCTCTCCCCACTGCTGGTGGAGGAGGCCGGCTGGAGCAGAGGCACAGCAGGGCAGGGACCTTACAGCGAGTTACGATGCTGTGCTGTCCGTGACTAATACATGATGTTTGATAGCACACACATTTAGAATTATGATGCTACTGTGAGATTGACATGTTGCCCATCAAAGGGAATATTGCCTGCCCCTGGTGATGTGCTGCCCAGCTGCATGTGGGTCATAGGTGGAATATAGATGCCTCCACAGCTGGAGTCAGCAGTAGGGCAATAATTCAGGACCTGGTCTGGCTTGTGGCAGAATCTGCTGTGTCTCGAAAGAGTGACTCCCCAAAACGGAGAACGGCAGGCCAGGACAAGAGGCCGTACTTGGCATCAAAGTGTCAGAGGTTAGCACTGAGCCCCGTGTCTTTTTAGTCATTGGCGTGCTAGCATGTTCTAACTGCTGCCTCCTGCAGAAGCTTTTCGGACGATAATTGCTGTGGTTGTTTGTCATTACAGAAGTAACGCTGAAGGTCCATGTAAGCGATGCCAGCACACATCAGCCAGTAACTGAAGCCTTCATTGAGATTTTTACCAACCAGATCTCCATTGCATCTGGAACCTCAGGAGCAGATGGCACTGCCTTCCTCAAGTTTCAGTATAAGTTGGGCAATCAGCTGATAGTGACTGCTAGTAAACATGCGTATGTGCCAAATTCTGCACCATGGAAACCTGTAAGATTGCCTGGTAAGAGATCTTTATTTTTGTTCTGAGGTAAGATTTTGCATCTAAAGGAAGTTACAGAGTTTTGTGTGATGTGTTTTAATGCTTGCGATCCTGGGTGGGAGGAAGAACATCTGTGCATTTCAAAAAAAGCGAGGTTTCTTCCTCAGTTAAACTGTGGCATCAGGGCTGTGCAGCGATTTGCTCTCCTCCTGGCTGTCCTTGATACAGTGCTACGTCAGTTTTCAAACAACTGTTGGTGCTCTTAGAGCTCCACAGAAAATACAGATCTATTCCAGATCTTTTTCTTTATGGGAACTCTGTTTCCAAGTACCTTGTTTCAGCAGCTGTGATATACTCATTCGTGTCTCTCCCAAGGTGTAGCAACAACTGTTGCACTGTAGGCTGTAGTGTACAAAAAAAGTCCTGGCCTTTCAGTTCTTGGCCGTGTCCGTACGACAGTTTTGATCTGCAGTTATGTTATCCAGATGTAAGGATTTTTTCTAACTTAATTAGCATGGTTTGTTTCTTCCGCAGGCGAACAAATATAACAATAATACTTGCATGTTAGTTTTTATCAGAATGCCTCAAAATTGGGAGACTCAAAAGTGGGAGACTTTACATTAGTTGTACAGGAGAGAAACTGAGTCATGGAGACTGTTTCTGTGCTGCTAAATAGAACAGATTGAGGGTGGCTTTCAGACCTTGAGATGTAACATCTAGATGAAGGTCACATCCCCAGTTTTCATCTGCCTTTCCTCTAATCCCCATCCACAATTAGGGTCCAAGTAGTTTGGGAGTGGTCCCAGGCTTGTATTATACCCAAATCACACCTAAATATCACCTCAGTTCATTTGATAATTAGCTGAGGCCAAAGCCATGCCAGGTTTTAAGTGCACTAATATTTAAATAGTATAAATGATCACAGGGCAGTGTTCAATCCCATGCCTTGGCTCCATTTTATTTATTAATATCAACATAGCCAGAGGGACTGTGTGACTTGCCGCAAGGTCAAGCAGCAAATATATTTTCAGATGGGGAAAGGAACTTGAATCTCTTCAAACCCAGAATTATGCTTTAGGCATTTCAACGTGCTGTTTACTTACCTGCATTCGCCTGCTTCAGATAAGAGAGACTGACTTCTTCCACATTTCATCTGCTGTATTCTGCCACGTTTTCCAGCTACTTAATGGAGCTATAGCGAAGACTAAGCCAGGCTCTTAGGTGCATAGTCAACTGAAATGAGTTGCAGCAAGTAGAGTTTCAAATAAATAGAAGGGAGCAATTCTTTACAGCAGCAGTGGTCAAAGATGGGAACAGGTTGCCCAGAAGGGTTGTGAAATCTCCATGTTTAAAGATATTCAGAACTCAACTGGACACCTCCCTGCTTGGTTGAAGCAGGTGACCTTCAGAGGTCCCTTCCAACCATAATTGTTCTGTGACTCTGTTTAGAAATTTCCTTGATGTTTTTTCTGTTTAAATAAGATGAAGTGCAGCTTCCTCAGCACACTTCATGTACTTCCTTAAGACACAATCATATATGATTAAAGCATGCAATAACCTTTTCTTGCCTGAACATTTTCTGCCTTGTGTCTCATATCTTTCTGACTCATAGCCTAGATCTTTTGAATGCGACCTACTCTTCCATGGCCTGGATTTTGTTCGGTTAGGTTTTTTGCTTGTTCCTTTTTCCTAAATATTGATTTTAGGGGAAGGGAATCAAACATGGCATTATTGTTTTGGTAAGTCATTGAAGTTTAAAGAGCAGTAATTGTATACAGTTTCCACAAAATCTTTCTTTCCTGAAATGTGAGCTTAATTCAGAAAATAGATTCCTTTCACCTCTGATCTTCCCCCATTGAAACGGGTAGATAGTTTGCCATTGATTTAATTGGGAGTAGAATCCTTTCTTTTGCTTTCTGTACCTTGAACTTAATCCTTTCTTTGATTAAAGAAACAACAAGTTACAACTTGATATGCCCCATGTAGATTTAATAGGGCTGTTCTTTGAATTACTACTTAAAAGGGACATGACATAAAAGTTCAGGCCCAAGATACTTAGGCTGTTATTTTTTGTATTGACTAAGATGCCCAGAGTCTTTAAAAAAATTTCCAAGAACCGTTCCTATTTAAATGCCTATCATGCTTGTAACCAGCATGGTATAGAAGTTTTGCAAACCATGGAAGTTTTGTTGTTGTTGTTGTAGTTGTTATTCTTAATCTGGGTTGAATGATGGGGAGCAGGCAGCATATTTAAATCTTGATTTTGCAGTGTGCAGTCTGGGTACATGCATACAGCGGGATCCTCATTTCCCGAAAATGCCTTTTAACAGTACTAGTAGTTGTCACCCCACAGAGCAGATACGCCATTCTGAGCAGCGTTCCACCCACGGCAGTGGTTAAAGCTAATGTGCTGTCCCGTGTGCTGTGGTAAATGAACTATGGGCATGTTTACTTCAAATGTGGACGTGATAACCACGAGCAGGGAGTAGATTTGAGAGCTATAGGGTGGTAATGTTTCAAGTGCTGTAACAGGACTTTGCCGAAGGATCAGGATTCTTCCATCACAGTCAATACGCATTAGTTATAATCTTATGCTGAAAAGCTGTGCAGCCACTGAACTCGTGATATTACTGTAATAGCTTTAAGGAGTAAGCATCGAGAGTTCTCTGTTCTCATAATTCGGCAAAAATGAACTTTTCTTATATTAACCAAAATAATTACTAGCTCTTTACCACTTAAGCAGGAGGATTATTTATTTACACAGTGATAAATGGTAGGAGGAAAAGATTAAGATCTCTTTTTCCATTAAACTATTTATCAGCAGAGCCATGACTCCATTTATTAACAGTTCATTAATTTAACATCACTTGAGTTGTTGAAGTGTTCATGATGGGAGATGTGCTCATTTATCTGCTCTTAGCTACACATAGATTTTTCTTTGTAAATAATTTGGAAGAAAAAAATTTGTGACTGGTAGTCCGTATTTAAGAGGATGTTTTCAGAGCAGTGTGTGCAATGAAGAGAGGGAAATTGCTGAGGCAGCACAGTTCAGACTAGCTGGTAAGGTCAGTCAAAGCAAACCATGATATTCACTGTGGTGAAATACAGTTCTAGGAGCAGAGGATGCTCGTGGTATTTCTGGGAGAGGAGAGCTCATCTGGAAAGCAGTGACTCTGCAGAAGACATATGAGTCATGGTAGATGAATGGTTGAAAATAACCTCCCAATGCAGCACTGCAAGAGAACAGAATAATCTCATCCTTAGCTGTAAAATAAGGTAAAGACTGAGAAGGCGGAGTATAGTATTTCAGAACTTGTCCTTGGTGCGGCCACTCAGGGAAATGTGTGTCCAGTTCTGGATTCACGCTTCAAGAAAAAAGTTTAAAACTGTGAGGTTATATCAGGAGCGTTTAAAAGATTGGAAAATATGGCTTACAGGGAAAGACTTGAAAGTGCTTAATTTATTTTGTTCACCAGAGAGAAAGTTCATGGGGTAATTTGATCGTAGTCCATCAGTACCCGCATAGAGAACAGGAAACGGGTAAGAGAGAATTCTTCTGTCTAGCCAGCTTGTATAAAAAGATCAAATGGCTGGAAGTCTAACCTCAATAAATTTTGATGGGTAAAAAGGCACATAGTTTAACTGCCCTCATAATTATTTACTAGAACATTGATGTTGCGGTATGTTCTTCACCACTAGACACCTTTAAAAGAAAATTAGATAGTTTGTCTACAACATGTTTTCTAATCTAAGCACAGCTATTGGATCTGAAGCAGTAATTAATTCAGGGAAGGCTGTAGTTATACAAGAGTAAGACTGGATCACCACAGTCATCCTTCTGGCCTTAAAAACTATGACTTTCTGCCTTTGTCATGCTGAGAAAAGATTGTGCAGAAAAGCCCAAGGGAAGTTTAGAGGTTATATATGCATTATAGTCTGGCATATATGGAAGAAGATGTTGGCATGGCTTATTGTATTGAGCTCCCTAGGGTATCTAAATTATATTAGCTTTCTTCTTACAAATTAAGTTATTGGAGTAAAGACAAACAAATTTTGTAATTGTGTGGCCTTAGTGCTACTTGCACTAGGCTTTCTTACTTATGTTGCCTGATGTGTAGATCTGTTTCACATGTAGAGCATTGGAAAGAAAATTCTCAGCTGTACTTGCAATAACATGATTTTTTATTTTATTTTTTTTAATGTTCATATATGTTGTTAAGACCGTCTTTTAGATGGTTGTTCTTATCAGTGTGTTTCTCCTAGTTTCTTCTCCTTTCTCCTGTCAAACAATAAAATTTCTGATCTTTTAAAGGAGAATGTATTTCTTAAAACAGAAATAGGGTACAGTCTTCCTGTTTGTAGCTAACGTCTATTGGATTAAGTAATACGTATTAATTTAGAGGAAATTTATGAAGCTCCAGAAAATCAGAAGAGCTTGCGCTGTTCTTTTATTCATCGGTTCTGGAAATGTCTTCCTCGGCTTGTGGTCACTTCAGAATGGGATGAGTACTTCCCAGGTGCAAATATGGGATGCTGCCCAGTTACCAAAAATTGCTAGTCTGCGTTAATCTCCTCCTCTCCTTCTATCTTTGAAAGCCATGCATGGACTGCAGGCAGGTCTACTTCTTACTGTTTTCATGGGTGCGGGAGTCAGATGTGCCCGGTGGCTAATTCCATGCGTATTTCTGGTCTTCTGGGTCTGAAGAACTCTGTATGAAATTACATCATGTTCTTCATTCTCCAGAGATGTGTGTGCATACAGAGACAGCCCCGTGTAAGGAATGTCAAAGTGGCAAAGGAGGTCCTTGCAGGCAGATTTCTTGCAGCAAATACCATTTATCTGTCCCCTTTCGCACCACTGGTAGAATGACAGTAGTTCTGCTATATATAGCACTTCTGTAGTGTAGGTGGTGACTCAGTAAGGACATGCTGTATTTTAAAGCAAATTATTCAGACTTATTTATCATACTTTGCCTTTCTATATGACTTTTTATGTGAGCATCTCAAAGTATTTAAAAGTTAAGTTTCATTAAAATCTTCCTGAAGTAAGAAGTATAGCCATTTCACAGAAAAATAATTCAGTCAGACTAAGTTAGTGTTTCACTCCTCTTTATGTAATCACAAGTCTTTCTGTGGAACTGGAAATTATAACTCGAAAGCCTGCTTTACACTGCACTCTTCTGTGTTTCAAGCTACCATGCATGGCTTGCAGGAGTCAAAGTACAGAACGTGTTGTTTAGTTCAATAATAATTACCCTGGCAATTTAATTATTTGGTTTAGAAAATGCATGTGGTTTCTGTCATGTATACAATATGATTTTAATAGTTCGAGTGGCCTGCTTTTGCAGAAATGTAGAAGAAAGTAAGTGCTGCTGTTATTGGGTTATAAGAATTCAAATATATCCCACTTAAACCACTTCTTTCCCACAGTGTTCTCTTCACTGAGTCTCGGCCTTCTTCCTGAACGCTCAGCTACTCTAATGGTCTACGACGATGTAGTCCAGATAGTCTCAGGATTTCAAGGTATGCTGGTTTTTGGAAGTTGGAATTGAAATTTGAGTGACACTAAACAAAAAGCCTGACAGCCCGATATTTTCTGAAGTCTATCCTGTAGGTGAGACTGGTATCTCATGGGGAGTTCTTCTGAGTTCCCCAAGGAATGCTCCTCTGTGGGATGGTTCTACCAAACTGATTAATAGCTAAATTCATCCCTAACTGCTGTGACTAGGGAATTCAAGTTACTTGGTAATAAATAAGTTTGGACTTTAGTGTGCCATTTGAGAGCTAGAGATTAAATTTCTTTAGCTATTTCCTGGATGTTTTTTCATCTAGCCTCATTTAACCATCCTTGCAGTAAACATTTTCTGATGTTCTTACTGTCTAAGAATTTCCTCTGTTTTTATTTTGTTTCTTGCTTCCTATTGTGAATGCCTTAGAAATTTAGAGCATAGAAAAATTGAAAATTTCTCATATCTGCGTTGTTGTATACCCTATATAAACTTGCTTTTCTTAAGTACTTCCTATGGACCCCTTATCAGACTGCCTGCAAACCCACATACTACAGGATGAAACCCACTGTATTAGAAGAATAAAGTTCAAATCATCTTTTCATAAGGCCAAACACAGAAGTTAAAGCAACTGTACTATCAGTCAGATGAACACTGTGTTTTCTGCCTTGCACGGTAAAGAATAAAATGTTCATCTGACCTAGGGATCTGACCTAACTTAGCCCAATTGATGTGATAGCTGACGTAAATCTATTAGCAAAAGAACAGAAGTTTTCAGAGATACCTTGATGAGCCAAAACAAGGGGACATCCTTCCTGTGAGCACTCTTATTGTGCATAAACTGTGTCTTATTCATGTGTATTATGATTACCATCATTTTAAACTCTACCAGATAGTTAATAAACAGGGGAATACTACCTTCAATATATTCCAAGATAACCTTGTTTTATCTGAGGGAATATAATACAATTATACCTTCCTGACATCTTTTTGTATGGTTAGAAACCATCCAGACACAATAGGCTTTTCATTAATGGTAGCACTAGATACGACTTGGAGCTGAAAAAGCACTAAACAAATTAGGTAGCTGATAGAACGCTCAGAAGGAGCCGGAGAACAGCACAGCTGCCGTACATATATTCTGCAATTTGAGAGCTGACATTATCTAATGCGGTAAATTAGATGGACAGCGAGCTGCGTTAAACCACAAGGGAGTCCACTAGACAAAACATGAAACATTGTTTACCAACAGTATTCTACTAGCATGGTGTATTAAATGCTCTTATTCTTATGCAAATGTGCTAATATTATTCAATTAACTTAAAAAGAACAATCTTTTCATGTTTACACCTTACTTTCTTCAAAAAAGGGGGATGTTAAAGGGCTATAGCAACATTTAACAGCCAAGTGACATTCATAAATATTTTCCACATAATCTTGCTCAGTAAGTTGATCCAGGATGTTCCAAATATATTTAAATTAGAATAATATAGCTGGTTCTGCTGGTATATCACAGAAAGAGGAAAAAGGAAGAAAGTGGTACCCAGAGTATTCTAAGGTGTGGAATTTGAATTCTCAGTCTTGCCCAGTAAAAACTATTTTATGGGACCAGCCCATGCTCCTTTTCTTGGGAATTCTCTTGAGATGAAACCTAAATGAAAGGCAGCCTAGACATTGTACCAGCATTTGAATGGAGCCTCTCTAGTCTCGATCCAAAATCCTTGTGACCTAGTTTTTCTGTTACTTCTCCAATTTCTTTCCCAGTAACTTCACGCTGCTTCAAAAGAGCTGATCGGGAGTTACCTTAGTGCAAAAATGAGAGCAAAACAGAACTCATTATACCAGGAACGGACTGGGAACACTGGTGTTTGAAGCACCAGTCAACAGGAAAGAAAGGCCTGTCTAGTACAATAAGTTACCAGTTGCTTTTGAATAATTAATCAAGCAAGCGACTTATTATGCAATTGAGAAGTTTGTCTGAATTGATGCAGCCAGCTTCATTTTCATGATGGCATTACAATCCACTGCTGTGCTCTGTCAGTAATTGCGAGAGATGGAGCTTGCCAGCCACTGGGTCATTTAAGTTATTTAATACCAGCACAGTGACGAGCTGAACTTCAGCGTTCAGTGAACGGGAGCTGTATGGGTACCCTCTATCTGCCTCTGACATGTGAGCAATCAGAGCATGAACTGATGATACTTCAGAGTTACTTCACATAGATGGAAGCTCAGATGCCAGTGTGGTGCCACATGTCACGCATCCAGCGTGACAAGAGGTGTGCCTCACAGGGACTCCTTGCGATGGTTACACCTGGAGGTATGCGCTGGCAAACTGAAGCTGACAGCATTTGAATCATGGCCAGTTTGTTGACAAGAGGATGTTTAGAGAAGATAAGATTGGTGCTCAGCAGTCCTTTACCTCATGGCACTCGCCTAGTGGAGATTGCTCGCATGCCAATTTTATACTTGAATGTGTTTGGGTTTTATAAGTCAAAACTAGGTATCTTCAGTAATAGAAGCAATAATAATAATTCACTCCCAGTGATGACTGTTGACTTGTTGAAAAATACTCTTAAGAGTCTGGTCAGCACAAGTCTTTCTCTCCGTTTTACCACTTCCAGTTCCCTCAATAAGTCTATTCCCAAACATATGCCCCAAAATCATCTATGACCTCTGCTAAAGGAGTACATCAGATTATCTTCTAGCAAGGTGGTGAGAAAGGGCAAAAGCCTTGGTAGCTGCTTCCCTACCACGCCTTTTGCTGGTAGCTCCAGGTCTTCTGCCCCTTTGAAGTCTCTTGCTGGGTTTGGGGAGACCCAACTGAGGAGCTGAGGGGAGAGTCAGGGTGAGTGGCAGGTTTCAGGTGAATATCAAGGAGTTTGTTAATCTAGGGTATGAATTAACTACTCTGCACTGATTTATTGTATGTATATGCACTATCTACAGAGGAAGTTGTTTCTTCCACCTTAAAACTTGCATCCCAGTTGACTGCTGCGCAGCTTTCCTGCCAGGTTTGGGGCTCAGCCATAGGAATGCTTGTGTTGCCTGTAGGATTCAAGAAACTGAGGTTGGCTTTTCTGAGTCCTCCCTATCTAGTCAAAATTCGGCAGCTCATGGCTCTCCCAGTGCTACAAAACAACCATATTTTTATAGAAAGCCCCAGAGCCTCTGCATAAACTAGTGTTACAGACTCAACAACAGTTACTTTGTTTTTAATTCTTAATTAGTTCGGATCTTCAGAAATATAATACCGGTTCTTGGCAACTTGAATAATTCATTTTAACCAGAGATTTAGACAGCAGAAAATCCTACAATTTTACATTGAACTGTTAGTGATAATCCTAATGCCGGTTTCTTTGTTGTGTTTTTTTTCTTGTTTTGTTACTGTGGATGCTTATCCCTACGGGCCATAGGAGCCCACTCAGCAGTGCAGTCAGAGGTTCCCGAATGCTTGAGCAGATCTGCCCCTGAGGTACAGCAAACTACTACGGTATTGCAGAGCACTCGGGAGATAAGTCTTCCCCAAGTTCATTGCAGTCAATTTATTTAATCTTTTATGTTGTTTTCCATTTAAGCCTAGAAATTGGGTAAGGGAGATTTTTTTCCCATTTCACACAGGTGTTGTTTAATGACTGTCTTAAACACTTAAGGATACTGCCAGTCTTGAGAGCCTGCTGTAAATACTTAAATGTTTCAGAAATAAAAAAGAAGAGTGGTTTTATAGCTTTTTCTTGCAGAATTACCAAAGAAATGACAGCTAAACAATGATCAGCTCTTTGGAGATACTTGCCCACCTACATAGCAATTTTTGTTTGCCAATACAAAGTTTGTTCTGTGGAATTTTATGTTTTCACATAGCTAGAGCTCCTGCTAGAAAATAATACAAGAAAAAGATACTAGTCTCCTGGTTAATGACATTGGCAGTTATAAAGCTTAGGAGTTGTGAGTCAAGCTCTCTAATCTTTCTCACAGTGAAGTTACGTGTAACCTAAAAGTGCTGCCAGAGACTAATAGGGGAAAAGAAGCAAAATTGTTTTGAGTTGACATCTTTGAACTGCATAGTCAAATGTGAATTAAGAAAAAAACTGCTTGCTTCTTGATTTTGTGCTGTGTGGGGAGTGTTCTGTGAGTATTCAAAATGAGCTCTGGAGAATACAATAGCTTTTGATTTAAAAATTAATTTGCATGTTGCACACACAAACTTGCAGATGGAGTCTTGCTGTGTGTTGTTAAACAGTATTAATGGCAAGCATCCATTGAAAAAGGCTATTGTCTTTATAAACTGGGATTTAAATGAGACATGAAATGCAATAGTACATGACACAGTCTTAAATCATGTTGCAGCAAAGACCCTTCAATTAACACCTAGTGATCTTGAAAAAAACACTACAACTGTACAAGACAGAGGAAGAGAGAAATCTTACATGCAAAGTAATCTGGTTCTGTTTAGATGTGTTCTTTGCATGGGAAAATACAGAAACTCTTCTCACCCAGGCTTTGTCAAGTGGATTTTTTTATCCAGTGGTTTAAATAAAAAGTGTCTATTATCTCAGTACTAGTGACAGTTAATGTGGCCAAAGCTTTGTAAAAATTAAATACAGAAATTACACAAGTTAATTGGGACTACAGGTAAAATTGTGGTCTCTTAGAAAATCACTTTAAGGAGTGTAAGCTAAATTTTTCTTGCTATTTCAAGAAAAACAAAATTTAAACAAAAATGGTGAAATGGGTGCTTTTCTAAGCTTTCACATGCCCTAGCTCTGAACTCAGTTTTAGTTTCAGTTATATTCACTATTAGAAGTGTGTAATGAAATTTGAGGTGATCCTGGGAAATAATGTGGTCAGTAAAGCTTCTAACATTAGATGCTTTCACAATTTTGCTCACTGATACTTCTGGAAAAATAATGGCAACTGCAAAATAAATGTAAAAATACTGGTTTTCCTCCTCTGCTGTAGTAGCCTTCTGATGTTTCTGTCCTTCTCAAGCTATTTCAATTTATAATGAAAAATACTGTAAATGTGCTTCCATAAATATGAACACCTAAATATTCTGCCCACCTTGGATATAAAGTCACTTTTAATTTTTTTAGGTGCACGGACTCAGCCACAAGTTCACTTTCAGAGAAGATCTGTGAAATTACCAGAGAACACTAGCTACAGCGATTTAACAGCATATCTAACTGCAGCCGGTTCACCCTGGGAAGTGGACAGTTTTCCTTATTTGCAGGGATTAGATGGAAATGGAACAGGTAACCCACTACTTTGGTTTTGCTCTGTTTTCCTTTTGGTCCAGGGATCAAGGTTTGACCATATAATTTTTTCAATTCCCTGTTTCAGCAAACATTCTTTAAAATTTGGATGACATGATAGGTTCAACTGCCCTACCAAAATGCATTCCAGTAAGCAAGAGAGCAAGGTCTGCTCTCCCTTAAATGGGGCCACTGAATAGCAAAGTTGAAGATTCCTTGGCCTTGGGAGATCAGAAAAGTTTGTTACATTTGTAGTTTAGAGTTAAGTCTCCAAATGTGTTGCATGTGCCCATACAAAAATGGAGATTAACGTGAAGGATCAAAAGAAAATATAACTTGAGGATGCCGTAAATTGTTCAATTTTTTTCTAAAAAAAAATAAAATGCCTATATATCAAGGATTTAATACTCTCTTGTTTTAGCTAAGCGCTGTTTCAATGGCTTTGTTAATACTTTTGAATCTAGCTTCAGCCAAAAATGTGCAAGTTCATTTAGCACCAAAGGAAAAACAATGAAAATTCATAGTAGAAACACAACCACTGTTAAATTCAAAACTGTAATACATTTTTCTGACTGCAACTGCCTGTTAACTCTTCTTCCACTTCTCATTTAGTCGTGATTGAAATAATTGGTGTTGTGTAGGCTACAGAAAAATAGAAGAATTGGGCATAGAAGTCTTCAAATTCTTAGAATGCTGCTGTGAAAAGGAGAATAATGTTTTCTCTGTGTCTGTATTGGGTTAGAAAGCAAGCAGTGGACTTTGCAGTGCAGCAAGAGAGATTCAGACTAGTGATGAGGAAAAACTTGCTATAGTGAGGATAGTTTAAGCTGTAGAATCAATTGCTTGAGGGTGTTGGACAGAGTTAGACAATCACTTGTGAGGATGGCATAGGTGTAGCTGAGCCTGCTTTGAAGAAGGCTAAATAACCCCTTGAGGTCCCTCCCTGCTGTTTCTCCGGATACATTTACTTGTGATGTGTTGATCTAGGTGACTTTGAATGCTAGGTCATGTGTGTAAACGGTATGTACGGAGCTTGCTAGCTTTTCCTTAAAAAAAAAAAAAAAAAAAAAAGGGCAAGATAAACTTCCCCTTCCCTTTGTACAAATCTGATTATCTCCTTTTCTATTACAATTAGAAATGTGTCTGCTACCTTACTCCAACTCTTCTGTCTGCTCCAGTGAGTACATCTCATCCTATCTCATTCTGTCTCTCTGTCATTTCCCTATTCTCATCTTCAACCTTCAGTTTTCTCTGGCTCTTCATACTCAGACATGATCAAATATCTCTTATCTTTTTTAAAATGAAGGAATGCACTTGACCTCATTTGTCTGTCTACTTCCTCATCCCCTTTCTTTTTATCTGTAAACCCGTTGAACAAACTGTTGACAATGTGTGTGGGATTCCTCTCCCAAATCTTTCCTTAGTACTCTGCAACCCAGCTTCCCACCCTTGCATTTATTTAGTGAAAACAGGTCTTGCCAAGATTTCGGATGATCACCTGTCACGCGAACTACACGACCAGGACATCATCTTTCTTGTTTTACCTTCTAGCCTCCTACAAAACAGATGAACACACCCTTGGTTTTTTAGTCCTTTGTATGCTTGCATGATGGAACTTTTCTGCTTGGGCACAGCAGCCCTGGATTTGACTTTATTAACCTTCAAGTAAAAGTATGTCACAAAAGACCAAAATGACCGGCAAATAAATGGGGTTTAAGAGACTGAGAAAAGCCTTGTTTTCTGAATACTGTAGTATGGTATAACACAGACCACAAATACAATATATTTGTATATGCACTATAGTATGGATGAAATGTCCTCTATTTTTAGTAGAAGTTTCTTCTGCTGTGGAAACATTAAACTTTCAAATCCTAAACTTGGATTGACTTCCTTTTCTTCATCTCCAAGTGACTTGGTGAAGATTTCACCTGAAAAACTTTTGAAAGAATAAAAAATGAGATCACCACCTACTGGGGATTTTTTTAATATTTCTGTTCTCAAGAGAAAAAGAAAAATATGTAGAAATTTTAGAATTCTGAAAAAAACTTAGCATTAATTTGCATGGGAAATTTTGGAGTGTTCCTGAACACTGCCCCTTCTCCCCTCTCTCCCACCTCTCCTCCCCCCCCAATTACTCTCCTGTTCTTTCACAGTTTATTTACGTGTCTGTAGAGTTTTGGAGAGGTCCTCCCATTTGTTTCAGTCAGCTCAGTTCTCTGGCTAGTATTTATCCAGAGTGACTTTACAGTTATTTTAACTAAAACCTATTCTCTATGACTTCAACAGTTTTCACAAAATCCCAACTGGGTGTTGAAGTAGTAATATGGAGCAATGAAAATTCATTGCATGAATCAGCATGTTACAAACATAAAAATTCAAAGAATTTAGCTGCAAGTAGTGACAAGCCTGTATAGCGTTAGCTTATTGTTTGTATTAATTCACCGGTTGGAGAGCAGTAGGATGGTTTCACAAAATCCCGTCCTTTTAACCAAACTACGCAAAACTTTCCATCGTCTGCAGTAATGGATGAAGCTGGCTAATAACCATTACTCCTGCTGGTTTTGTTGGCTGTTTGTTTCTTTTTGAAGAATCAAGTCTAAGTCACAGTGGATTTTCCTCTGATTATTTTTAGAGCTCTTCACAGGTCACCAGATGTCAAAAATGACAAGAAATGAATGAAAGCTGACATTTATTGACGTCCATTCCCATTTAATCTGTTCGTGTGCTTATCAGTTTTATAGCATGCAAGAGTTTCGTAAGCATTGATTTTAATTTGCCTTCACAACAGAAAAGAGAACAATTTATCTTTTTAATGAACATTTACATACTGTGCAAGATGGCAAACTGAAGGATTATTTCTTCTTTCCAGAGGTCAGTGGATTTCAGAAATTTCGTAGTCTTCTAATATAACTTGTTCAGCCCAGCACTGAGCAAAGCATCAGTGCGTCTTAAGTAGAAAAGATGCAAACAGTGTTTCCCCATCAGAATGCTTTTTCTGGGGCTGAAAACTCATTTTTACAGATATTAGGCAGATATGCTTTCTCAAGACAATAATAAAAGAACAATTCAAAACTTTCAATATCTAAAAATAAGTAAAATATAAAACATAATTTAATCTTGGATACTAATGTAAATATTTCTAAAATCTGAAGTTATACCTTTTGTCATTGGGAATTTGTATATGCCAGAACGTGGTCAGGTTATGATACTTAGCAACAGGAATTTATTTCTCTGATACCAGCCTGAGAAACTTAGTGGCCCAAGTCCAGTGACTTGGGGACAAGCATCAATCTGATGGCAGTTATAGGTGCATAGCAGAGGCAGTAGATTGAACAATCAGGAATAAAGGAACAACTTTTTCCCCACCAATTCCCTCCTCTATCTCTCTGGTTTATATTCTAAGGCTGTAAGGGGATGGTATTGTGCACCACTGAAGCCTGTAATACAAATGCTTGGGTAGGCTGGCAACCTTCCCCTGTGCCCTAGCTGAATTTCCAAACCTTATTTTTCTATTTTTTTCTCTCAGTTAGCTCTCTTATATGGCCGTCTTCAGAGTGCCTGTTTTCTCAGTGCTTTAATCCTTCTGGAAGATATGCTTCTGCCCCTTAGTTCACAGTAGATCAAAGCAGAGTGTATGCCCCTTGCGTGTGCTCTCGTCCATCCTTGGCCTGTCAGCTGTGCAACACTGACACTCGCCTTGAAATCTGGGGAAAATGTGCGTCAGAGTAGATGCTATAGTAAATAAGCCACATGCAAAGTTACTTCTGGTTATTTTCCATGTCTTCAGTTTGGCACCTCTTGCAAAATCCAAAGAATTTAGAATTCTGAGAAGTTTTGCCTCTTTTTTTCCTTCCCTTTGCCACTCCCTGCCCCTTTCCTGGTGATGTCTTAACTTTGGTGAGCTGTTACTCAGAGACATCGAATTTAATAAAGGCCATTCCTTGAGACTCACTCGCTGTTAGGAGAAATCATAAACGTCCTAATGCTTTCCCACTGTCCCCTCGAACGTGCTCATCCTAATGAACACTGGCGCTGAGATACCGCGTATTCCTCAGGACCCCTTGTTGTGCCTTAGCGTCGCAGGTGGCATACCACTGTTGTGTGCGAAGGTGCTGTTACGGGCAGTTTATGCTGACGGAAGGCACCAGGATTACAGGAGGGGCAGCACCCCGCTCTCTGCCAGCCAGGCACCCCTCTTCTCTCACCCGTAGCAGGATGAGTGGCTGCACAACCGCCGGTGCCAGTGCGAAGGAGGCGTCAGGGCTGCTGCTCTTGGCAGCAGTGTGGACCCGGGTGGCTCAAGCCCCTTGCAAAACTGGAAGCTCCATCTCTTCCAATTTAAACTACTACCACTATTGCTTTGAGCTCCAGATCTCCTTGGTTTTAAACCTCAAGGTTTTTTTCCCCTGAATACATATATATATCTGTGGTATTTTTCCCTGTCATTGATCCATTTGGTTCAATGGTTGAAGGGTTATAACGCTTTTTTAAATTGTATTGTCATCGTCCATTGGCATGCAGTTTAAACGTAAAGAATAATTATTATCTTACATAGGTAAGAAGATAATACTGTGTATCCTAATAATCCATTTAGCTTGGTTTATTTCAGTGAAAGGCCGAAGGAAATACATCCTGGCATTCTTAAACATATGACCAACCATCCTTGCAGTGTCACTGCATGTTCGGGTGTTTGTTAATTATAATATGGGCATGTGAGGCTGTAATAAAGGCTTGTGAGATTTTTTTTTTTACCATGATTATGGCTGTGATACTCATACATATTTATTTAAGGTGAATTAAGATGAGAAAATATGTGCAGGAGATTTTTGCATTATAGTTTTCTTGTCTTCAGAATTTTCCAAAATTAAGTGAAAAATACAGAAGCACATTCATCTTGGTTGTTGTGAATTTTGTAAGGCAGGGAGGATTACTACTACCATCCCTTGAGAAATACGTTGCTGCCGTACTGCAATGTTGAACCAGATGGGTGTACCTTAAATTCTGGGAAGTTCTGTAGTCACAATATTCATTCATTCTCTCGGTAGGAAACAGCACAAGGTATGACCTCACCCCTGTCACTGCAGTCAGCGTTCATCTCCTCAACAGCGATGGGACTCCAATCCCCGTGAATGGCCCCATCTATGTAACAGTGCCTCTGCCAACAAACAGCAACTTGAAGCACAATGCACACGTTCCAGCATGGAGGTTTGACCAAAAATTTGGTAGGTAACACCTAATTGTGGTTCCCTAGATGGCTTCATTTATCTGAAACTAATGTCTCACTGCATTTATTATGTTAATGTAGTAAGGTCTTCATTGGATCATACAGAAATCTGTTTTCTGTCTAAAAGGAGAGAAGACTGAGCTTTATTGATCAAGTAATATGTAGTGTACGTGCAAATATACTTGAGTAGTCTTGTGTGCCACTTCTAGACAAAATTTTTTTGTAAATGTAACGTTTTGCAATTATTAAATATTTATGTAAAAACTATCTTGAAAGAACTTGATTTCACCCAGAGACTGAGAAGCAGAAATACGTATTCACTGCGGCACTGAACTGGAAGTCTGGAGAAATGGAAACTAGCCTTATCTTTGCCAGCAGCCAGCTATCTGACCGTTGGTCCGTCTCCTGTCTCTAGCTCAGTTTCCTGCCTGTCAGATAGAAAACATAATACTGACTTCTTTTGTAAATCACTTTGAGATTGGCTAATACTATCAAGAAGGAAAGTGCATGTAAATGATTTAAAAAAAAAAAAAAAAGGGCAAGCAAAATTCATGAAATATTTTGAAAGGACAGAATGGCTAATCAACATAAGCTGTAAAATGCACTCAGTTTTTTATGTTGCAGGATAACTTTTACTGTTGTGAACAGGATTTTTTCCAGAAATATGTGGCTTAGGCTCTCTGGTTTTGTTTTGGCTTGATTTTTTCATTGCTAGTTGGTATACTGTGCTGGCCTTCTTTATACCTTCAAAGTGTAAAGGATCAAGGGGTGCATAAGTCTTGTCATGGTGATTCCCCTTCAGTTATTCCCCTGTGCCCTCTGAAGTATGTGTCAGATGGTTGTTAAGACAAAGAAGTCAAAAAAGAAGAATGGAAGGTGAGAAAGGCAGAGACTGTGAGGAAGAGAAGAAGAAAAAGGAGCCAGAAATGTGGATCTGTGTAGATCTGTCAGTGGGGTTTTGTCCCTGCAAGGCAAACGTTTTGAGCCAGTTTATGGTCACATCCAGAAGCAGAACAAGTAGCATGAAACCAGGGTATTGGAGGAAGGGGAGGGGGCAAGAGAGAGGTGAAGGGGGAAATAACGTTTTTGCTTCCTTCCTGCCTCTGTTTGCTGGAAAAGGTGATGTATTTTCAAACAGCATGCCTGATAAATCTTTTGTCAGAAGTTGGCTGTGTTAGAGAGTAAAGCAGTGGGATTTAATAAAGAATAAATTTGAATATGATGTAAAATTGAATAGTAAAAAAAAAGTGCGATGAATGGATTCAGGGCTTCCCTTAACTGTGGAAATGTCGAGTTTTCTTGTGGTGCCCTGGCAGTAAGTTTCGCTACATTCTTCCTGAAACTGATTTTGATTTGTGATTCTAGAAACTATTTTGTTTTCCCTTGTTCAGAAAAAGATGGGGAAGACTGACTCATGTTTACTTTCTCCACAAGAAGCAGTCCATCCTCAACCCTTCCTGTCAGCTGTGTTGTAGCTGCAGCCCGCCTCATTGCTAGTTACTCGCTGCTAGTAAAATGGTTCTGATTTTGATTATGGAGCTTTCTGATTTGTGGCCAAATTTCCGTGCCCCTGTGGTGGGGCCACAGAAGCTCTCTCTTACTGTGGAATATGATTTTGACTGTTGGATGTAAAGAGCTAGTTACCCTATTGTGTGCAGTACATATTAGTATAGATCAATACGGGTTAGTTAATTAGCGCTGCAGGCTTGAGGCTCCCCGTCTTGAGACAAGTTCAGCCTTGTTTGCTTCGTGACAAACTGCTGGAGCACTTGTGTTGTTGGGAGGAAAAAGCATGAGGACCACTAAACAAAAAGGGTTTTTGTCAGGCCACTTAGCTTCACCAGGCCATGGAGAGGAAGGTATTGAAGACATGACGCTTAGGCTTCAGCTCGCACTTCAGCTGAAGTAAGCATCTTTCTATGCAGCCAAAGATGTTGAACAAAGATGCATTTAAGCCCTGACTGCAGTATGGCAGTTCTAGCAGAATTTTGGCCACATCCCAACCAATTTAAATTAGAGTAGCCTAATTTAATAAGTAGAGCAGCCACTCCATCTTGTGCGGGCTACATTAGCACCCTGAGGGCTGTCAAACTAGCCATATGTAGCGCGAACATGGTGGTACCCTGTCATTCCCCATGCCTGTTGTGCTTGGACTATGAACGGAGGAGGATGGATGATGACTGGGATGGCTCCATGCTGGAGAAATCCTTAACTGGCAAATAAGTTGTTGTAACCCATTTGCACTGCCAGATCTGTGCCTTGTCAGGATAAGCCCGCTAACCTCATTATTCTCATTCTGTCTTTCATTTCAGGAGCTGCTTTTTTCAGTGCTAGTTATGTTGCGGTCTCTCCTTAATAGATTTTCAGTGGCTTAAATTTTCACACTTGTATCTGAGAATTGAGTAGATGCCAGAGATGGAAAACTATGACTGTATTAGCAGGCAATAATGCAGCGCTTCTCTCTAGCGTATTAGCAGTACAGTGGGCGCTTGTTCGTGCAAGCCATTGTTTTTGTTTAGAATCCATGTGGTTGTCATCATTACTGCGTGAAGTATAATTTCTGCTCTAAAAAGCAGAAATACTTCTCACTTTTAGGGGAGGGAGTGGAGAAGGGACAGAAATACTAGAAATATGTTTTAATCCTTAGTATCTCATACATTTTGCTGAGCTCATGATATACTAATATAAACCCAGTAGCATCTGATGGGAAGTGCAGAAATTTTCATAGTTTCTACAGAAATTACGCATATTTGCATATTACGGCAGCCAAAAATAATTAATGGCTTTTTAGGATGTTTACCATAAACAGTCTGTATTTTCATTACCACAGTTTCTGTCCTTGAGAGAGACCTGGGGAGAGAAGGGGGAGAAGCGGCATAGTCTACTTAAGGCTGAGGGTGGCTCCATTGACACTGATGAAACAGCCAGCCAGAAAAAGCAGGCTGACATCAAAATAAGACAGTCTGCCTTATCTATTTCATGCTGTTTCAAATGAGATTTTTCGTTACAAAACAAACTTGCTGCCTTGCGTACACAGCAAGCGAATTAAAGCAGTAATACCTTTTTGAATAATTAATAAAATGAAGAGCAACTATCTGTGCCCTGGAGAAGTTTTAGAGTAAATGAATATGTCCAACCTTGTTCTTGTGTTGGAGATGCACTCCACCACCTCTCTCTGCAGCATTTCTTAGTGTTGGTAATAATAAGCACAGATGCATTGTTGTTATGGAGATGTATACACTAAAATGCAACTTAATCATTCCGTGCTGTTGACATACCCATATCTCTTGTGCTTCACGCAACTGTGGGAGAGTGGTTTTATTTCATAGTACACACTTGGCTGTTCGAACATAAGAGATATGGATTCTCATTTTTATAATCAGGATTGCTCAGTGGGGTTTTCTGGGTTGTTGGCTTTTTTTTTCCTGAGCGCTGTCTTGTTTTTCTCAAAATCTGAAGGGGCTGAAAAACTTTTTTTTCTTTATCCGTAAACAGATGGTTGGGATCATGACTTCCTCCCTGTATATTTGCCTTGATGTCAGTAGGATTTACAGCAATATAATTAATCTCTCTATTCTTGGACACCAAATTTCTGTCCAAGACTTCTTTCTAGCCTTGTCCTCTTCAGTCAGAAATGAATACTACAGATCCCAGTAGGAATGAAACTTTGTACCTCCTGTATCATTTCCAGCTCCCGCCAGCTGGACTGAGTAACATAGCACTTGCTCAGCTGTATTCTCCTCAGTTCCCATTTAAATGGTTTATGCTTTATGTTAAGGTGTCTGTTTTTCATTGGATTTAGTGAGCAAAACTGTAAGACCAGCATTCTCCATTTTCAGTCCTCAGTTTCATCCCATGTGGTATGGAGGCATTATGTTGCACCTAGAACTCTAGATCCACATCTGGAGCTTTATGAAAATATTACCAAGTATTCCAGAGTGCATAACATGGAAACGGGGTTTATTCTTCAGTGACAACATCGATGCATCTGCTAGTTTATTAATCCCACCAAATAACAGGAAAATATTTTCAACACCGTTTTCAACCTTGTGTGGCAAAGGACTCCGGAGTGAAAGGGTTAAACCTCCATCCTTTTGCTCCTCCTCCTTAAACTGTGTTATTTCTTGTGCACTACCTATAAATGAAGTTCAGAGTACCGTTTCTCTGTTCTCCCTCCTCCCGAACACTTGGTGTACATCTTTGACATGACCTTGTTGTCTTTAAATTACTAGCTGCTTCGCAGAGGAGGATGTTTCCCCAGTGCCTGAAATCTCAACTGTGTCTTAATATAAAGTGATGGCAGAATATGGAGAAGAGTATCTTGGGGAACTCTTTTTATAGCTTTATAAAGCACAATAGTTTATGTACTCTGCTGTGCTTGGTCAGTGCTTTCTAACTGCATTTAATGCTGTAATAGATTTCTAAATACATTTGAAAGTCTGGTACTTACTTTTTCTGGGTGACGTCCTGCCTTCAGTGGTAGAATTTCCATTGATTTTTGTAGAGTCAGAATTTCTTGATGCTCCTTCCTCAGCAAAATTAAGATAATGTTGTCTGTGCTCAAAAGAAGTCATGAGGATATACTTGTGTATAAACTGTATCGGTGCCTACTTAAGCTTGACTGCAATATGGTTTTGCTGTATTTCCCAGAGGTGAAATGATGCTTGTTTTTTGTTCATAGTGTTTATAGGGAGAGTGACAGCTACTGTCAGACAGAAGATGTAAGCAGGTTACTGTACATCTACCTGTCTAGTTCACTGCGCGTTATTTGTAAATAAGATGATCTGTAAAAGTCTCTGATTTAAGCTTCCCATGTGGTAGCAACAATTATCTGCCCTAAGAAAAGATTGACTTATATTTTGATAGTTTAAAAAGAAAACGTATTCCTTTTTGTTGTGAATTCAGTTAACTTCTGATTGCCGCCATATTCATACGCTGCATGACAGACAGAAAATAATCACTTAACAAAAACTTTTGCAGTCTCTTGCTTGATCTGAC